GTTTAACTGTCTCTAAATAGTGTTTGTTATGGAAAAAAACCACGGAGAGAAAAAATCCCATCATAAATTCTGCAATTTTTCATTCCTATGCCCAGGCCGTCTTGAGCCATGCCACGTTCCTTTCCTTTCCTTTCCTTTCCGTGGTGCGGTAGTCAGCCCGTGAGCAATTAAAATAGAAAAGAAAATACCCCACAAGATTGCGGTAAAGGAGAATATTGATTACTCTGTAAGTTCAAATTTCACAAGACGCAGACACCACCCCCAAAAATCTCCTAGAGAAAAATAAATATCAAAAAGCAAGCTAATTCCGAAGTCCCGCACAAGCGAAAGCACAAAGAGCAAAATCTTTTGTCTTCGAGGATACACGTATGGCATTTTAAAAACTTTCTGAGTATCGGGTTTTTCTACCCGCTAACTTATCCATAAAAGACTGATATTTCTCGACCTGGGATGTTTCTGTGAAATTGTAATTTTAACACCCCCTTATCTGTAAGTGTTTAAATGACGAAGTCTTTGCGAGAAGAATTTAACATAGAGTTAAATTATGTTACATGATGCGAGTAAAATTTCGCGCCAACGGGCACGGAACACGAACCTGGCAGGCTTTTGTGCATCATTCCCGATTTTGGTACACATTTTCCGTAACTATGAACGTCAAACAAATATCTTTTGAATGTAAGAAAGAAAGAACAATAGCTCTGCGAATATGCTTACCTTTCGCTTGAATATATAATGTCCAGCAAAAAGCAAACACATCGCCAACTGAACAGGGTTGTTTCCTGCGCGCGGAGGATAAAAGAATTCGAAATGATTATTGCAGTGAATAAGCCACGAGTTACTCATTTGAATATCACATGTTTACAGCTGATATGCTAACAAAGCCATTTCCACGGGGAAAAATTGTGGAAAACGAAATAAACATGAAACGAACAACACTTGGAGATTATCTGCTGTAGCGGTGAACGCGATAGGCTCACATTTTCGGAGGCCAAATAAATCGTCACGTTATTGTTTATACCATCGCAAAGGCCACGCAAAAACTTGGTGTTTTTACCTTGATTTTCGGCCGCGTTGAGTCTTTGTGTTTTCCTCCCTTGGATCTTTAAAGATTTCCAAAAAAATTGGCTCGTATTTCTTGAAAATTACAGTAGAGACGTGAAAGTTCCTTTCAAGCAATTCGATTTTCTTTCGAAAGTCTCCCGCGGCATTCGACATGTCCAACCATTTCTTCATTTTACTGAAGAACTGAATGAGGCTGTAAAGACACAAAGATCAAATAGATCACAGGTCCGTTTGACAGTAAAGAAACTGAAATAATTACAGATCTAAAAAATTACGCTGAAGGCTTACCTCAATTTCGCTGCCCTCAACAATCGGGTAAGAGAAACACAATTTCCTTCGACCGTTCCCGTACTGTCGACCGTTGGAACAACACTCTTACGACAGGCGACGTACAAAGCACATGCCAGCCAGTGGAGACTGTCCCCCTGAAAGGGAAAGTTATGAAATCTGAATATTATGTCTGCAAAACGTACTTGATCGCATCACCACCCGGTTGATAGCCGTGAAACGACAACTGTTGTGTGGGATATACGTACGATTCGAAGAAACTAATGTAACGAACGCATACATAAACGGTACCTCTAGAGTGTAATTCGTGCTAATTTTCTGGTACGAAGTCCATGCTTCTTGACTCGTCTCCTCATCCATGTTAAGATCACGACAGAGACTTTCGAATCGTTCTGAACTATTCGCTTCTTCATCTTCGCTGGAACTCGCCATGATTTTTCGGTTTTATGTGGAGGGCCAGAGGCAAGCACAAACCTGAATTGGCGGGAAAATGTGACGATTTCCTAATATAGCACGGCGACGAGTGATGTTCGCATGACAACCGTGCGTCAGCTGTCAATAACAATAAAAATTTTAATGATCTCTTACCTTATTTGGCAGTAATTTCCCGCCCTTTTTAAACAGCTAAATATCTACAGCTGAGTGTTGATACCAAGACTGTTCTCTCTTTGATAACAGCTTGTAGCTTGCAGCATTGACATCAAATACTTTAGAATCTTCCTCTACGTCGCTTTAAACCAACCGACCTTGAGTTCGGCTGAAATATGGCTTGGAGCTTATGGCATCTAACTTTGTTAACTTCACAAAGCAGATACGCGTCTATTTAAGCTCCCCGAGGATTTCGCTAAGTACCTTTGATCTTGCACGCATCGGAAAAACATGACACGAAAACTTTTTTCTTCCCCTTAACTCTTAATTTAAAACATTTTTAATAAGTTGCTTTAAGTTTAATCCGTGATCTCGTCAATGTTCCGCCAAATATTCTCTGACAAATCAAAGCGTGGATACATCGTAACTATCTCATGGGTGACCTATTCAACGATTAAGTCTTCTCTGAGACCGTGTCATCGGCTCATATTGTTGACTTCTTATCTAAAGGAGAGCTGAGCCGGCAACTACAAATGTACTTTGACACTACCAAAACATAAAAACAAACCGCAGACAAAAAAAAAAATTGAAGCCAGAAGAAATGATAAACATCGAGTGGAACAATCTCAAGAAATTTTAAGATTGCAAAGTTATCTTCGGCACGAAAAACGCTCGTCTGCGATTCCCTAAGGACAATTTAGGAGGTTGGTAACGTCAGCTCGTTTCTATTCACCATCCCGTTTTAAATATTCATAAGCTGTAGAAAATATTGAAGTTTTGATTTCTTGTTTTGTTTCAGATCGATACAATGGTCATAATTTTCCATGGTCTGATCCGCTCCTAAGAACCGCTATCTTGAATCTTTAATGTTTATTACTCGCCGATCACCATAGGGTGGAATGTATTTACTCCTATTTGGATTGAAAAGCAAAATCTAAAGCGAATTATCTAGGTTTTCATACCAATTCAATCTGAAAGAAAAGTTAAAAGCTGCGAAGAAAGCAAACTCGGTCTTGAAGAACTCCGAAAGCTTATCACATCCTCCTCACGGTTTTAGCATTCAAAACTTCTTCAAGCTTCAGAAAATATTTTAGTTTTTATTTCTTGAGTGCTGTGATGAAATCTTTTTTTTTTTTTTGATTCATCCTTTGAAAATCTATTCCAATAATTTTCGTCCCTACTTGACTTATTCCTACTTGCTAGGTATCTTTGTAGACGAGGCGAACTGATCATTAAATCGTATGGCTTCTTCTACGATAAAAAATTTCCGTCTTCTCTTCATCCGGCGGTTGATCTCCTAATAAAATCTTCCAAGGCACTTACAGGCTTTCTGAGCAAAAATTTGACAGCGTATTAAAACATTTTTGGTCTCCATGCATGCTTGTACTCAGCATACTCATTCTGAGTAATTCTCGTCACGCAACATGCTCTAGAGAAAACGCGTTGCGTGACAAGACCAAACAAAGAGTACGAAGGAGACATGGAATACTTGTGAAGCAAATCTCTACACGACATATTTCTACATCTGAGATCTTAGATCAACATGACACTTCTTTTCTCATGTAATCTTTTCGCTTTACATTGAAAAGAGCTATTAAGGGCATGCTCGTACTGATTACTCGAAAGAAAATCACAACAATTTAGTTTTTCAAAGCCCGGCCATAAATCATTGTTATCTGACAAAATGATCTCAGGGCTTTTTTTCTTACTAGGCTTTCAGTGACAGATGAAATATCACGGCTGCTCGACCTATACGACCCTCAAAGTATTTCAGCCAATGGACAATAGAGTATGATGTCAGTATCAATATTATAAATGATCACCTGATCGTTACTCGAATTTTCACCGGAAGTGTTTCTAAGAATCACTGAAGCTCTAGCTATGGCTTTCTCAAGTGCATCGATTGTGACAAAGAACTCCTATTCCCGAGCTTTATCGCCTTTGGTTGCTTTATCCACTCTCTTTGGACCTGGAGAGAGGCTCTATTCAAAGTTACACTCTTGGCTTGGAGGACTACTTTTTGTCTCTTTGCTCGGAGGAATGACTTTCGTGGCCGTCATCGGAGTGTTTGTGCGGACAACCATTGACACGTGGATACAGTTTTCGCTTTACATCGTTCCCCTTATTGCTTTAGTCGCTGGATTTCGCGTGTACACATCCTCGGCCTTCTACAAACTTCTCCAGAGGAAACTGTGTGGTAAATCCATGGTGAATGGCTTCGTGGAGTCTGATCAGAACATTCCGTGGCACGAGACAAAGAGAAAATCATGGCTGAGGAAAGCTGCCTTGAAAAACTGCCTATATCCATTCGTCTTAGAAATTTATCAGTGGACTTCCTATATCATTTTCCACACGGTTTTCCAAGGGGACAAATTTGCGGGTTCTTGGACAGCGAGTCATATTGAAAAGTTCGAACTTGACTCAACGACATGGTTAGGTCTGTATGGTTTCTTCTGGGTAATGGCTATGTACCTAACTGGGTTTGTAGCTTACACTTTCATTCTGATTAGCCGGTTGACTGTTCGAGATGTTGTTTGCTTCATGTGTATGTTTGGCGACAGTCCGTTTTTGATGCACAGGCCCTCAGGGGAACAAAACCCAGTCTTGAAGAACCTCAGTCCGCTACGAAGGGTCATAAATGGCATATTTGGATTTCTTTTCATGGATTTCTTGCAAACTGGAAAGGACATTGTACTAGTTTATGAGAAGGACACCCCAGTTTTAGATGAAGTCGGGGTCACTTCAGGCCAAAGTATTCCCGAGGAGGAGCGCTGGAATCCACAGGAATCACAGGTATTTGATGATTTTTCGGCGTCGATTGATGTCACGCGACCAACACAAGGAAGGCTAAGTGTGCCAAAACGTCCACAAATTACGCCAGTAGATGCCAGCAAATATCTTTCCAGTGTGATCGGTAGTGCTGAAGCTCTGGCAGGTCTTTTTCAGCCATTCATCGTTTTAATAACGTTCTTTTCTGTGGCCAACTTTGTAACTCACGTGGGAGCCATTGTAAGCCTTATTGCAAACTTCAAATCGTCCCATTGGTGGACATTTGTGAGGACATGCATCTGGCTTCTACTTTCCCTCCGGCTCCTCTGGAGCGCAGCTGGAATCACTAAAGCCTTAGCTCACGTCTCACAGCATCTCAATTACCTCTGGTCTGTGGGTCAGCTACATGGCAATACAGAAGAGTGGCAGAGATTTTTCAAGCTGGTCGAATCGTTCCATTTGGGGACCAAAACATATGGGTTTCCTCTCACACTGAAGCAAGCGGCATCGATCGCAACCTTTATAAACTTCGCACTTATCATTGTGCTGTCAATCATGAAACCATCAGTGCACTTACCAGCACGTGGTGACTAGCACCCTCTTATAATCAGGCATAAGTGTAACGAAAATAAGCGAAACTCAAGAGACGAAGTGTGCGCAGCAACCCGCAACCGTTTTTGACGTGTCACGCAGCGCACTCCTCGAGAGAAGCGTTACGTGACATCCTAAAAAAGAGCTGGTAGGGAGACTAGAGGTAACTAACTACGCCGTGTGATTGGTTTTGAAAACCATCATCACCTGTTCAACTAATCAAATGTAAACTAAATTAGATCCTACCTGTTTTCTCGCGCTTTGTGCGATATTTACTAGTAATACTAAAGTT